GCACCCCTTGCCCCAGACATAAGAACATAAGAGAAGCCAATGTTGGATCAGGCCAGTGGCCCACCCAGTCCAACACTCTGTGTCACACAGTGACCAAAAATACCAGAAGGTCCAGCAGTGGGGCCAGAACTCCAGAAGCCCTCCCACTGTGCCCCCCCCCAAGCACCAAGAAGACAGAGCACCCCTTGCCCCAGACATAAGAACATATGAGAAGCCAATATTGGATCAGGCCAGTGGCCCACCGAGTCCAACACCCTGTGTCATATAGTGGCCAAAAATACCAGGAGGTCCAGCAGTGGGGACAGAACTCCAGAAGCCCTCCCACTGTTGCCCCCCCCAAGCACCAAGAAGACAGAGCATCACTTGCCCCAGACCGAGCATTCCTATCTATACCTTGTGGCTAATAGCCACTGATGGACCTCTGCTCCACATATTTATCCAGTCTCCTCTTGTGCTTGTAGCTGCCACCGCTTCCTGCAGCAGGGAATTCCACATACATAAGGACACAGAAGCCATGTTCAGGCCAGTGGTCCATCCAGTCCAACACTCTGTGTCACTCAGTGGCCCAAACCCAGGTGCCATCAGGAGGTCCACCAGAGGGGCCAGAACTCCAGAAGCCCTCCCACTCTTGCCCCCCAAGCACCAAGAAGACAGAGCATCACTGCCCCAGACAGAAGAATATAAGAGAAGCCAATGTTGGATCAGGCCAGTGGCCCATCCAGTCCAACTGCCCATCCAGTCCAACACTCTGCCACACGGTGGCCAAAAATACAGGTGCCATCAGGAGGTGCACCAACGGGGGCAGAACTCCAGAAGCCCGCCCACTTTCGCCCCCCCACCCAAGCACCAAGAAGACAGAACATCACTTGCCCCAGACAGAGTGTTCCATCTATACCTTGTGGCTAAGGGCCACTGATGGACCTCTGCTTGATATGTTTATCCAGTACTCTTTTGAAGCTGTCTGTGCTTGTAGCTTCCACCACTTCCTGCAGCAGTGAATTCCGCGTGTTAATGACCCTGTGTTGGTCTGCAGTAAAAGAACTAGATTTGAATCCAGCACCACATTAGAGACCAACAAGATTTTCAGGGCATGAGCTTTTGAGAGTCAAAGGTGCCTTTTTCAGAGCTTTGGTATCTGACGAAGGGAGCTTTGGAAGCTCGTACCCTGAACACCTGGTTGGTCTCCACGGTGCTGCTGGACTCGAACCTAGCTGGAAACGTTCAGTTTACTGTTTCAAGAGGAATATCTGACTGTGAACTTCGTTTCAGGCCTGTAAACTCTTAACAGATGACTACGAACAGGTCCGGAGTGCTGCAGTTCAGCTTACCTGGGTTCTCAGTCAGCTTTATCCAGAAAGGTAGGAATGGACTATAAGCTAGACCCAAAGTCAGGTGCGGAGATGAGGGATGAGTGTCATGTTAAGGACATAAGAGAAGCCATGTTGGATCAGGCCAACAGCCCATCCAGTCCAACACTCTGTGTCACACAGTGGAAAACCCAGATGCCATCGGGAGGTCCATCAGTGGGGCCAGAATTCCAGAAGCCTCTCCCATGCGACCCCCCCAAGCCCCGAGTATACAGAGCTTCCCTGCCCCAGACATAAGAGAAGTCATGTTGGATCAGTCCAGTGGCCCATCCAGTCCAACACTCTGTGTCCCACAGTGGCCAAAAACCCAGGTGCCATCAGGAGGTTCACCAGCAGGGCCAGAACTCCAGAAGCCCTCCCACTGTGGCCCTGCAAGCACCAAGAAGACAGAGCGTCACTGCTCCTGACATAGGAACATAAGAGAAGCCAATGTTGGATCAGGCCAGTGGCTCATCTGGTCGAACACTCTGTGTCACACAGTGGCCAAAACCCAGGTGCCATCAGGAGGTTCACCAGCGGGGCTAGTAGTCCCGAAGCCCTCCCACTGTGGCCCTGCACACACCAAGAAGACAGAGCGTCACTGCTCCAGACATAGGAACATAAGAGAAGCCATGCTGGATCAGGCCAGTGGCTCATCTGGTTGAACACTCTGTGTCACACAGTGGCCAAAACCCAGGGGGCATCAGGAGGTCCACCAGCAGGGCCAGAACTCCAGAAGCCCTCCCACTGTTGCCC